ATTCGGGACACAGCCCTCATCCAAATCCCCCCTCGCCACCACGCTCCTAAATCTGCACCTTTCCATCCCCCCATTACGCAGCACAGCCTCCTCCCACCCCAGGAAAACACGGGTATTTTGGAGGTGGAGAGAAGAAGGCAGAGCCTGGGAGGGCACGCCCCAGGCCACGCAGCACCCCAGGCAGCCAGGGAGCCCCTACTCTGGTTCCACTCCTGCTTGTTCAACACGCCCGGCCCCCACGATGCACAGCCACTGAGGCACCCCTGCAGATGCTAATTTGGCTCTACCTATCTTCCTCTAAAATATTCGTCTGTATACATATTTCAAAGCTGGAAAATAAAGCAGAGAGTAAGGCTCCAATCCATTACACCTCTTTGGTGGCTCCAGCAACTTTATCTAGTGATTTGCACTGAGTTCAGTGAAACTCCTCACAAGCTTAAAATTAAACACACTTAGTGCTTTTCTGGATTGGTGCTGGACTTTTTTTAACCAAACACCCTTTTTTTTTTTCCCCTCTGAGTTCATAGGTAGACTGCAGACACTAGCACATGACAAGATCATGTAAGAAGAACACTTGCTTTCACAAAATTTCTAGTACTTCCCACATCTGTGTAGAGCAGCAGCAGCAGCAGACAGCCTGCCCTGGCACTTTCTAGCCACAGCTTCATCTAGAGGCTGCTTTGAAGAATGAGAAGAGTAATTTCTAATTTATTTCCTGACTTCTTGTTGAGTCATCACAAAGGGTCAAGATTGGTTTTCATCTCATCCTTGCTTTTACTGTCATGCCAAGAAATAAAGTTAGGATTTACAAAAGCCTGGATGGAAAGCAGCATCTCGCCCCCACAGGAGATTAACGCACCGCGGGCTTGTCACTGCCTGGGCTCTTCTGGAGCTTTAACTGAAGCCAGCTCCTTTCAGTAGGAGGGGTTTCTCCTGCATTATAAAACTTGCCATTTCCAGGTGTAATGGCACATTCAGGGTTTCAATAAAGAGCCAACCTGCCAGGCAAATAGCTGTTAACAAATGGGCATTGAGGGGCTTTTATCACAACTTGCTGGCAAGTACAGTGGCTTGCTGCAGCTCTATCAAAAAAGCATTGCCTAACACAAACCCAGCACAAACCTCTTCTGAGGATAATCTCTTTGGCCTCTAACAGCTGAATTAATTTTGGGAAGTAGCTGACTCACAACTGGACTCAAATTGATATTCTGTATTCGTAAGAGAGAAGAAAGAAGCAATAAACCCTGTAATCAAGAGCTGTCAGTGGAATTAATAAAATGCCACAATACTAACAATGAAATATCTTCTGTACTCACAGACACCCGCTGCACAGACAGGAAATTCTTAACCACCAAATCCAAAGGGTTCGTTGCTTTGTCGAGCTTTCCTGGGGCTGGGAACACGTGGGCTCGCCATTTGATCGAGCACGCCACAGGGTACTACACAGGCAGCTATTACTTCGACGGAGCCCTCTACAACAAAGGTACCGTACCCAGAGGGGCAGGACACACACAGCCCTTCCCAGGCACCAGGTTTTACCTCCTCGCTCTAGCATCCCGCTTGAAGCCAGCAAAGGCTGTCACTGACAGCATGCTTGGCACAACCAGAACACGGGGCTGGAGCGAAGGGTCTGGCGTGGTGCAGGCAGCTCCAGGGGCGGCTCCGGGGAGGGCTCCGGGGGCGGCTCCGGGGGCGGCTCCGGGGACGCCGAGCCCGACAGGCGGCTCTTTTCACAGGCAACAGCCAGGCTCTCGACTGGCAGAACCTGCATGTCGCCTGTGCACATGTGCAGCTCCCATCTAAAACACTGGTCCAAAAGATCAGTTGACTAAAAAAACAGCTGACTAAACCCTGAGGGTAAAACCCGTCAACACATGAGGGTTGAATTTTTAGATTTTACTAATTATTCTGGGAGGACAGTACCCTGAGGGTGCACAACATTTAGCAAGCACCAAGCACCAGCCCTGGGAAGCACGGCCCTTTTGCAGCGAGGCGTGGATGCAGCCCTCCCCAGCAGAGGAAAGCTCAGCTCCCAGCACACACCCTGCTTGGCAGCCAGGGCTCCACCACAGGTTTAACTAACTGGTACTTTCCAACGGTAGGGAATGATTTAGAGCACGAAAGGCCTAATCAAGTGAAAAAGCCAATAATCCCGTCTTGTAAAACAGGTTTTAAAGGAGAAAAAGACCACTGGAGAAGCAGAAGGACCATCTGTGTGAAAACACACGAAAGCGGCAAGACCGAGATCGAGATGTTCGACGCGGCGATCCTGCTGATCAGGAACCCCTACAAGGCCCTGGTGGCAGAGTTCAACAGGAAATACGCCGGGCACCTGGGCTACGCCTCCGACCGCACCTGGAAGAGCAAAGGTAACGCCCCAGGAACCCAGCCAGCACTGCAAACAAACTCGCTGGGACTCGGGTCCCACCGCAGCCGGGACTGGTCCCCAGAACACTCAGACCCGTGCCCGGGGCCTGGCCGCACGCCCACCGCCACGCAGAGCAGGGTGGCACAGAGCCCGTGGTGGCGGTCGTTCCGCTGGCAGGGAGAGCTGCCCAGGCACAACACCCCTGTGCACAGCCCATTTCCCAGGCTGCGCGAGGTGGAGGGAGTTTGCCCCTGCAGCATGTAATAACGGTGAGAAATCTAATTTAAGTTTTGGAGGATTCAATGGAGCGTGATGTTTCCTGAAGGCAATTTTACAGCACTGCACAGGTGCTGCTAACCTGAGATAGACACAGATAATAGCAGTAAGGGGACCCGAGATCCAGTGTTCCTTGAAGACATGAAGAGACTTCAGAATACGCCTGCCACGCTCCATGTGCTGGACTGGCAAGCTAGACGGCGTGACTACAATTTCCCCACTGCACAGGCTGCCAGGATCAGGCTCTGTGGCAGAGAAGGGATCCTTGCTGTTCTCCTCACGCCTATTTTAGGCATTACAGCTGTGGCTTGGCAAACCATGCAGCACAGGGCCGGGGGGAAGTGTCCCCTGTCACAGCGTGTTTCTTTCCCAAGTTCATGTATCACCTTTCATCAGTCACAACTCAAAAAACAGACAAAATAGCCCTTAGAAAAGGGAAAAAGTCCGGAGGGAGTGGCTTTCCCACACTACAAACCACAAATGGTACATTTCAGCCACAAATGCTCTTTGTTCAGCCCAAAAGCTTTGGCTAGGACTATCTTGACCCTCAGAAAATTAAATTATCATAGAGAACAAATAGAGATTGAGGTGTCATTAATGCCCAAGGCCAAGGTAGGAAAATCATTCAGTATATTTTGTGCTAGTGATCCTGATAGGTGACCTGAAATCCCTCCCATCTGCCAGGAACAGAAGAATCTTCCCTAATAATCCTATTTCCTTATCCAGTCTCCCCAGAAGCAAAATGTGCATAAAGACATGTTAAAGTCAGGAACAACTTGGGCTCCAGCCAAGATCAGTGCCTTGACACTGCATTTACATAATAAAAAGTTAATATATTAATTCTTACTATGAACTAATGCTATATATTATTTATTTACTCATATGTTAAAAAATTAACCTGTCTCCTTCTCAGTCTGCAATTCAAAGGGACGTAAAAGGGTAGGAAAACAACAAAAATGAAAGAATGTGCTGGAAGTTACACTGCAAAGAGCTGCTCAAGCCTCAAGCCCCCCTCCTGGGGCATGGGGCCCAGCTGCCCGGGCTGGCTGCACACCGCCACGCACACAGCTCAGCCCTACAAACCAGGCACAGCAAGCGCACAGAGCTGCAGCTCTGCCTGCCCGGCCGCTGCCCAGCCCTCCCCGGGCCGCTCCGTGGCACTCCCAGCCCTGCTGACCCCGAAGCCTGCGTGGCTGGGTGACCAGGGGGCAGCTGGTGAAGCATCCTCCATCTCTGTGCCGGGGGTGCCACGTGCCAGCTGGTGGGCACAGCACCCCCTCCCAGCAGCAACAGACCGTGCCCAGCAACGCGGGTCTTGTTGCACAGGATAACGTCTGGGAAAGTGCTGAAGCAGCCTGGCTAACCTTGTCCCCTTCTCCTGGTCTCTAGAGTGGCCGGATTTCGTGAACAGCTACGCCTCGTGGTGGGCTTCCCACGTCCTGGACTGGCTGAAGTACGGGAAGCGCCTGCTCATCATCCACTACGAGGACCTGCAGCAGAGCCTCATCCCCAAGCTGAAGGAAATGGTGGAGTTTCTGAATATGACAGTGACAGAGGACCGACTGCTCTGCGTGGAGAACAACAGGGATGGGAATTTCAAGAGGTCTGGTGCTAAGCAAAAGGATTTTGAGCCATTCACCCAGGAAATGAAAGACCTTATCAACAGATACATCCTGACAGTGGATGAAGCCCTGAGGGGAAGAAACTTCACAGGGCTGCCCAGAGAGTATGTGCCAAGATGATAGCCTGGTTGCACTCTGCTGTGTTTAAAAATACATTTTTTTTTTCTAAAGAAGAAAAAAAAAAAAAAAAAAAGAGACAGGCCAGAGCTTTATAGCTGTTAAAGCAAAGATACTCGTGGAGCTGGCTGAGCAGCACAAATTCTCTCCACTCCTGGGTGTTCTTCAGGGCACTAAGTGCTCCAGAAGGCAAGCAATGAAGGATGGAAATTGGGTTATAAACCAAGGCAAAAAGCTATTAGTGTCTACCTGTGTGTGCCCCCCCTGCGCAAGCAGCTCAGAGCTTCACAGCAGAGCACCCCTGCCCCTGCAGCAGGCAGCCTGCCTTCTCCCTCCCACTGCCAGCACAGGCCTGCCAGGGGCTGCCTGGGCGTCCACAGCAACTGTTGGAAAGGGATGTACATAAACGGGGAGGGGAAGAAGGAAGTTGTACCGCTGATCAACAGTTTTCATCTAAAGATTTAAGAAACTCAGTTACTTTCATCTTAGTATAGTCCACTAGCTGCCTTCTGGGTTTTGCCAGCCAGGTCACCTGCCACAGCAGCGCCAGAGGTGCAAGTGGAGAAAAGCACCGGCGGGCAAAGGCACCTGGATGCTCTGGGCAGAGAGGGACTCCAGGCACCTCTAGGACTGACTCTAGGCTTCCCAGCAGGAACGGCATGGCTGGGGCCACAGGAGCACCACAGGGAGGTGGGTGGCTGCAGCATCCCCCCCACGGTGAGGTGCACAGCAGGGGACCCACAGGAGAAAACAGAAATTCAGCAGAGCCAAATCAGGGTGTCAACTGCCAACAGGGTGGAAATCCCTGACTCTCACCAGCCCCAAACAGGCCTGAGATGTGGCCTCAGGAGGGTGGGAGAGGACGGGCTGCTGCCCATTCCATGTGCTTTGCACAGGTTTCTGCATCTTCGCCCGTGTGCCTGGAGAGTCATGGTGGGTTTGGGGAGACACTTGGGCCAAACGTCCCCGTGCTCGGTGCGCTTGGCACACAAAGCAGCCGTGGCCGGGCAGCACTGATGTGAGCTGAGACCACCCGGGGAGCGGTGGCAAAGGGGATGAGCCCCAGCCCTGCCAGCCCCAGCACGGGCAGGATCACACCTCTCCTCCCATCCCTGGAGGAAGATCAAGGCACTCCAACATGAAAAACATGAAGCTACTTCTTGCTGCTCTCCAGAGCCACCCCCAGCAGCCACGTGCATTTTATTTCTAACTCTGGGCAGCTCCCTGTGGTGTCTGATGCTGCCCCGGGCCGCGGGTGCCGTGCAGAGGAGGCACCGTGCAGTGGCGGGGCGACCC